AGTGAAACTAAAGCGAAGTTCGATTTTGGCGGTGGGGATGGGATTAGAGGTAACTGGGGAGGTGTATTCCGAACTCTCCCCTAAAGAGAGAGAGAGAGAGAGGAACGGGATTGGGGCTGTTCAACGGAGACTTATGAAGAGAGGAAGAGCCGGAGAAGGATCGATGACCTCGGGAAGGATTATGCAAAGAGATAGTTACATAGCTGATGACTGATAACTATTAGATGACTGATCCGGGGGGGAGGGTAAGATTCCTGTCAGGTACCTGAGTAAGTACTTCATACTAGGTAAGTTGGGAGGGGTGATGATTGGGAGGGGAGGAAGGAGGGGAGGAAGGGAGAGGGAGAGGGAGGGTGGATGGATGGCCCACCGAGGGATCCCTACTCCGTAGCCAGTGTAACACTAGACGACGGGATGATTAGCCCGACTACCACCGTTGCACCCACCAGTGGTCTTTATGTACAGTACTGTCCTGAGTCTTGCCTAGAAGTGTCACATACCACTTAGGGGGAAAAACTCGAAGTGAAGCAGAAGCAGAAGCAGCAGCAGAAGAAGAAGAAGAAGAAGGAGGAGGAGGAGGAGGAGGAGGAGGAACACCCAAGAAAGATGGATCGGCCAAGGGTCGCTGACTCTCTGTCGTAACTCAACTGCTCAACAACACCAACAACATCGTCATCATCATAGTCTGTGGCGACTCCCGAGCCAGGGTTTCGGCCTGCCGAAGTCGTCGCAGAAGGGACGCAGCCACATTGCGACCTCCATACCTACAAAGAGCCACCGTTGAGAATCCATTGGAGAATGTGAGTATGTGGAGGACATCAGTTCGTGTGTCATCATAACCCTCATCCATCAATTATCCATCATTTTCTTCCCAACCAAGAGACAGGTCATTGGTATCGGAGATACCAAAACAGTTTCCAAACAGGATGTATCTATGAGCAATCAGTACAGTACCTAGTAGTAATCAATCCACTTCATCCAATGCAACACTGTCACACCGAGTTCGATTGCGCCTTTGTATCCACTGATCCACACATGAATAGAACTGCACAGTGCAGTACATACAGCTTCTCGCCATAATAAGTACAACACAATGTAGATTCATGAAGGTTAGTCGAGACGTCTGTCTGTCAGTCTGCTTTTTGATATGATCCTACCGAGAAAATTACAGCACACTATCTGGTCACCTTCGAGACACGACAAAATAGGGTTGCAAACCTCCATAGACATTTCAACTACCAATAGCAGTAGCTCAGGATACCTAGTACGTATAACATGGGCCAAGCCTGAGCTACTCATTGTGAGACTAATGATATACTACCTTAAGTGTCAGTCACCAAATTATAGTCTAGTCTAACGGCAAGGTAGCAATTTGTTGTCTCCACCAGGCAGGCACTGAAGTTAGGGAGAAAAAAAAGAGTGGTAAGTACCGGACCATACCTACAATACCAGACCAGACCATACCAATAGCACTTACTTGCCCTTCCAATTCCTTCTGTGTTTCCACTTTTTCACTCAAGTACGCAAACAAGCAAAGCTCTAGCTCTCTCTCTCTCTCTCTTTCTCTCTCTCTCTCACACACACAAGACAATTTCAAGTCACTTTTTCCCCTGATAAATAAATAACACATACTAAGATTGCAGTTCACTATGTCCCTCCCTTCCCCCTTCCCTCCCTGTTTGTCTGTCTGCCTCTAAGCTGTCATTTTCGATTTTCGTTTCTTCCTCCCCCGCCTCATCCCTCGTACCCTGCGGAATGATAACACGCGCGGCGTTGATTTCGCATACCTTAAGAGACTAGAAGTGCCGGTACACTCGGATTACCACTGCGAAACCACACTTTGACCGCTGCCACTAAGTCGGTTCTACTCCCACTACTACTACTACTACTACTACTACTACTACTACTACTACTACTACTACTACTACTACTACTACTACTACTACTACTACTACTACTACTACTAC